CTTGATTGTCGCATATACCCCCCCCCTCCCCCTCGTTCTAAAAAGACAGAAAACAAATAAATAAATAAATAAATTTTCGTAATATCGGACTAAAAACACGAAGGACGAGATGCGTAAACTTGCCAGAATTTATATGATCGAAAATCAATCATGGGATTCGAAATAAACGGAGAATGATAGATGTTTTAATTAATTATGTTATGTTACCTATGGCGCTAGTGCGAACAAAAAAAAATGTAGATTATTAATAATGTCGGATTAAATGAGGGTGTGTCACCCGAAGAAAGGGGTGAAAATTAGTGATCGATTAAAATAAATTTCAGAGAGAGAGAGAGAGAGAGAGAGAGAGTGAGAGAATGAGAGTAAAAGAATGTGAGAAAGAAAGAATTATATAAGTATAAAAAAAAACACACACACACACAAAATATGAATGAAACGAATGAATTAATTATATAAGGAAGAAAAAAAAGAAGAAAAAAAAAACACATGCAAAACAACATTGTATCAACATTGTACCAATTCTCCCCGTAGATTTAAAATTCTTTTATAATAGATTTAAAAAAACAAATTGAGATGGAGAGACGGATTTATACACGAAATGTACATAAATTACATGGCACACTTAACACAATACACGCATATACATATAAATACATAAATACATAAATACATAAATATGTACGTACCAAAAAAAAAAAAATTAAAAAAAGAAACAAAGATAAAAAGAGAAAGAGAAAGAGAAAGAGAGAGAGAGAAAAGACGGAGATAAAATCATGCTTTAAATGAATGGTGAATATTTTGAAAAATATGTATCTATCACCTTTCTAATTCGTATTGAATTATTATTATTTTTTTTTTCTGTTTTTTTTTTTTCCAATATACATAATATACATTTTATTTGTGTATTTGCGTTAATAATCATCAATGATGACGTCTTGATTACAAAAATATTCGAAAATGTTTGATCGTTGGGCTGTTCGAATTAATCAATTCGATTTTGATTATAATTAAAATTTGTATTTTTATTTAAATTTGTTATTTTCACTGTTATATTATCTTTGCTATTAATATCGCGAAGGAAATTAACGTGAGGGTTGAAAGTTGAAGGTCGAAATTGGTTAGGGTTGGGGTGCTTGAGATCGAATGATATTTTTGTATGTATTATGAATAGTAATCACACGATAGACACTCGTTTTTAATCCTTTGACAAAAAAGAAAAAAAAACTGCCATTAGTGTATTTAGTATACTATTGTTATTTGATCCCCCTCCCACCCCCACCCCCCGTGAAAATTCTGACAAGAGTTACTTTAAGAATCAATGAATTGTAAAAATAATTAATCCTTTTAAATAGATTGTTATCTTCTAAGGATCGTTTTTGGGATGTATTTGTAATTTAATTTAAAATGAATTGTTAGGTGAAATTATTATTTTTTTTTTTTTTTGTAAATTCATGATTTTTGTTTCATATATTTTTTCTTATCATTCTTGATAATATGAAACAAATGAAATGAATATAAATAATTGGAATAATAACTGCAACAGCAAATAATATTTTTGTTTACATTTTAAAACGCGACATACGAATATAAAAAAAAAGGGTTAATTAATTAATTAATTTATTTCCCCATAGTAATAATCACTCTCTAAGTGTTCTTTCTTTGCAACTATTATTTTTCTTTTATTTTTTGTTGGTTTGATTTTTTATTTTCCTTTTAAACGAATCGTCTGTGATAGTTGGTAAAGTTACGTTTCTAACTAAATGTTATGCCCTTTACTCTTTCTTGTTTTATTTTTCCCCACTTCCCTTTTTCTTTTCTATTTAATTAATGTGTTTTTTTTTTCTCGTAAATACGATATCTTATTTCATAGATTAATTATTATTAATTTTTGTTCTTTTAATTAAAGGCACATGAATTTTTTAACATAGGGTGAATCGTAGTACAATTATTGATTAAATCAATGATATGAAATATAATAATTAAAATAATCACATGATCTTTTTGTATATCTTAAAAGTAGTAAGAAATATGTAAGCTACTTAAAGTAATTTAAAAAAAGCAAAAAAAAAAAAACAAAAAAAAATTGTTTGCATTCTTTTTATATTGAGATAAGGTTTGAATTTTTATCTGAATATTTTGTTTCTACATTATTATTTTAATTATAAACAAAAATTAGAAATATAATATATTTATATAAATATAAATAATTTACACACACTTTAATTTATATGTTAAAGTGTTTTAATTCAAATGAATTTGAATTTGGCGTGATTTGATAGAAAACAAAAAAACCAAAAAAAAAGTAAAAAGAATATATGTATATATCTATAATCGGTATTATTATTATATAGTTATAAACTAATATAAATAAATGAAAAAGAAAAAGTAAATCTTTCAATAAAAAATGATCAATAACTGTACGATCGTCGTTTGCCAAAGGTTCAAACAGCTTTTTGCCAAAGTTTCTTATCTCGTTCGTTTGTTTTGTGATTTTTATATGCAAAAATGAAATGAAATTAAATTAAATATCAAAAATTAACTGGATTTTCGCATGATTTTGTTGAATCGAACGGCCCGTCGATTGTAATTATCTTTTTTCTATTTTATTACGATTTAAATTTGATAATGAATTAATTGCAGCTATTGTTGCTGCTGCTGCTGCAAAAAAAAAAGAATTAAATAAAAAATATAAATAACGAACGTGTGTTAAACGCGAATAAAAGTTGTTTATACAAAATAAGTATACGAATCGAATTATTAAAATATACTCGAAAATAATCGTTTTGTGTTGAAATGAAATTAAATAATTAGGTGGTTTTTTTTTTTTTTTTATTATAATTTTCTTCTATTTAAAATAGATATTTTCTTTTGTTTGATTTTCGTCTGTGTGGGGAACGAATAGAAAGAAACATAAGGGAAAGGAAAAAATTATTGCGAAAGATTTATATGACGAGAAATATCGAGTGTGAGAGACTGTATAATAATTATAAATAAATGTATACGTTAAGTCCCAAAAAATTGTACGTTTTTAAATGAAATTATCTAAGACTCTTTATAATCCAAACTAATCCTATCCAATAGAATTTGTTTTTTTCATATATTAACTTTGGCTTACCACCCTTCCTGGAGTAACACGTTTACCACACCCGGGTTCTTTAGACCCGAGCGAGAAAAATCGTTATAAAAAAGAAACTATTGCATAGATTTACTTCAACATTTTTCTGAGACTTCTTTAATACTTACTTAAAAAGATTATATAGATTTTATAGCTTTAAATTAAATTTAAATATGTTTAAAAAATTACTAAAGTTAAACAATTGAGAAAAATGTCTTAAGTTGCAAAAAAGGTCTGGGTTCTTTGGACCAAGTGTGGTAAGCAAAGGTTAAACAAAATTTATTTACAGTAATTAAATGTTCTTTTATAAATCAGTAAAAAAAATGATAACAGAAAATGTGTAATTCTTTTTGGTTGATTATATCATTCGAGTTATTTTTCTAATCAATAAAAATTAAATAAATCTATGAACAAAAAAGCTAAATAACTTTTAATAGAATCACGTTTATCACTATTTTCTTTTTCATAGTAAATCTACTTAATCTTCACAAGACTTACAACACACTTAAACTTTAGACCTATAAGATATATCTAATTGAAAAAAATAAAAGAAAAAATTGGCGACACTTATATTCTATAATCAAATACAAGTTATAAAAAAAAAAGACAGTTAGTCATTGATTTAGTTTTATGAATTTTATTAAAAATCATAATAGGTATCGCCGACATTAAGGATATACTTTTTCAATAAGAATAGATAAGAAACATTATAATATATATATATGTATAAATATATATTTATATATATTATGTATGCCGACGAAATGAAAAGAATTAAAAATATCGCGGAGACACGTATAGGTGGGATGCAAGGATTAGCTTAAAACAAAACAAATAAAAAATGAAAATAAAAAGATTTTGTTCAACAATTATACGTAACTATATCACAAAGGTACTACTATAAATATATAGTCACTATGATAGTAATAGATCATATAATATGGCGAGTATACAACGTGTTGCGTTTAATACATTTGAGATTATGTTGTTGTTGGGCCGAAATATAATTACATTAAATAGTATCGTGTACAATACTAAATTATAAGAAGATAGAAAAAAAAAGCAAAAGAAAGGATAGGTTCTTCCTTTTTTCAATCAATCAGTCTGATTGTACGATAGTTGATTTAAAATGTGGACTCTTAAGAAAAAAGAATTATTAATGAAATGGCACAGAAAAACTCGCGAGGTTTTTAAATACGCATATGGTGATATATTTCTATTTTAGAGTTCATTCAAAGAATTAATGAATGAGATATTATAGAATTATTTTTGACACCGTATTCATTGACTTGTGAATATTGTTAATGTAAATGAGACGAATAATTTTGAAAATAATGGTCATATGTGTTTATATATATCACCGTTTGCGTTTACAAGAAAATTGTTTTGTTAATTAATTGTATCAGTTCTTAGAGCAGTCCTAGTTTTAGCAATTTACACGAAATGATCGAGAAAATTGTTTTTTAATATAATTTTTACAATAACAATTTTTAAATTTCTCACTTCATCTAAAACCTAGAAATGGGGAACTTGTTGTCTTAAAGCCGCATGACGTTTCTTCGAATTTTCTATGCGATTTATTGTTGATATAAAATGCAAATTGATGACGTATATAATTATGAGAATAGTATGAATTAATATGTTTAAATCAGTAAGTGATGGTTTGTGAAATCGATGCAGCTTTACTTTCCACTATATTGGAAAATTAAATTCGGTTATCCATTTAAAAGAAAAGGTTCCCCATTCTTGAATATATCAAATACTTAATTCGATATAATTAAAATATCCTATATATCATTTTTTATAATATACACATTATAATAATTATATCCTAAATAAAATGAAATCTACAATTTTGTTCAATTCTTGATCTCTTCTATTTCAATTGCAACTTCGTATTATTTATTTGTATTTTCTAAATCGAATTCACACGAACACATATTCGAATAACTCGAATTATTTGCTCTTTTTTTCTTTTTGTTTCTATCATCAATGTCCAATAACTGCTCTCACTTAAATTTTCTTCTACTACTTTTATTCTTCGTCACTTCTCTCGTTTTTGTGTGTTGGTTACGATCGTTGATCAATTAATTAATTATTACATTAATCTTCTTCGACGTGTCTGGGAGCATGATAGCATTTGTTTAAGTGAAAACATGCTCAATGATAATCCAGTTGTTGCTAATAATAAAGCACATGCTGCTACTCCACGTTCTTCGTTAGTTTTACGAATAATTGACGAACCAGTCTGAAAAGAAAATTAAAAACAAAATTATTCTTTACATTTTTTAATTTTTTATTGTAAGATTTATAGCCAAAAAAATAATTTGTTGTTTCATAATAAAAAGCTTTATGCTAGAAACAAAAATAATTATTGAGATAAATACAATTTAATAAGTATATTAATGCAGTGGTTCCCAAAGTGGGTGTGCAATTAAAAAAAGGTCATGAGTACACACATGAGTGAACAATAATTTTTTTTTCATTTCTCAGTACCTAAAAAAAAAAAGACAAAAATTTGCAAGGGGACGATAGAACAAAAAAGTTTGGGAACCACTGTCTTTTCTTGCTAACGCAAGAAAGATGAGAAGGTTCAAAGATTACATAATGTGTGATTATGAAATATATGAGAACATTATACCAACCTGATAAAATGTCAATTTAAAACCGTATCGGTAAGTTTGGGACAGATGCATTTCGAGTTTGCGATATTGGGTCCGTTTCTAAAAAAAAGAAAAAGAAAGAAAAATAAATTAACAATTTCTTTAAAAGTTACTGAGTGGGCCAAAAGTTTCTATGTGATTTAGAAATGAATTATTCTTCTTTGAGACTTTCTAAATTAATTTCTTTTCTTGATTATAAAACTTTATATTTGTTTAAAAACCTACAACGTCTCAAGTAAGTGTAATTAATTTTTAATATCACCTAAGGACTTTTGAATCAATCATTGTAGGTGAACAGTATTGTTTATTAAATTTACTTTTTATTATTTCTTGAACTTAATTAATAATGACGCAACATAAAAAGCCATATTATATATTTCTAAATGGGTATGACTTAATATTTAAAATTCTAATATTGACATAAAATTAGAGATTATATTTATAATTACATTGTAGTTCTACATGTATATGTAGAGTATACTATAGTGTATACTAAAACCTGATAATGCAGTGATAAGATTGTACGTAATACGTTGAATGATTAATCTTTAAATTTTTAATTTATCTTTTTCAATATGTTCTATTTTTATCTGTTCTAATAGTGTTTATTTAAGATATATCCTGCAAATAGTATATACTTTTAAAAAAATGTTTTATAATATTGAGATATTATAGTAAAAAATCAAAGTTCAAACAAGCATATACATAGATTTATTCAGGTCAAAAAAAATAATATTCTACGTCATTAAATATTAAGATTAATTTAATTACAAATGAGAAAAAATTTCATTGACGCACACCAATTTTTCTTATGAAATTTATAACGTATAATTATTGGAGCAATGAATGATTAAATGATCAATCAACAATAGTTTATTTCTACATGTTCGTTTTAACTACAAAGTTCTCTACTTAACATCTCGAGACATTTGTTTTAATAATAACTAGAAGACAAAAACGTCTTCTTGGCGCCGTCTAAGTTTTAAAATAATACAATGTTGTTATATATGTCTATGAACAATCATGAGATGCCAAAAATTAAAATGGCAGTCAATTTTGATATATATATAACCAATTTTATTAATAAATAATTAAATTAATACAAAAAATGAGACTACATTTGTGAATTATAATTTGTACAAATACAAATTGTAATTCATTTAATGTTAAATAATTTTACATTGATCAAAAATAATTTTAAAATTAAATTTTAATAAAGCGTTTGTTTTTGAATCAGTAATTATGAAATTGAATTATTTTGATTTATTTAATTTTTGTTTAAGTTTATTTATATTTTTTAATGAAAAAAATCGTATCATATATTTTGCGATGTGTAATTTGAAGGCAACCTTCCAAATTACATAATTTCAAAAGCTTTTGGTTATTTAAAGACGAGAAAAAATGTACCAGGTAACGTTTTAATGATTTGAATTTCGCGCGCTTGCGGTATCAATTGTTTTTCCTTAATGGTGTAAAAATTAAAATAGAATAACTTGTTTATTTGCACTATTATAAAATGAAAAAATTTCTTTTTGAAAATAACGATTATTTTATAAATTATATAAAAGAAAAATATAAAACATCGAACGAGTTCTCGCCTAAATTTTTTTTTTCTAAACTTTTCATTGACTAATACATATCGTGAACACGTTGAATTATTAATATAATATATTTACCGATGTATTTTTGTAATAACTAATTTAAACCAATAAAAATTCGAAGAACAAAACTTTAAAAAAATAGTTTACATCCACAAGATTAATATAAAAATAGAACTAAAGTTATATTGTCAAAGTAAAGATTGAAAAAGATATAAAAACTTCTTGCCGGGGAACTTAACCTAAAAAAAAAAGGCGAGATAATGCATGTGACACGTTGTTAAACGTACATAAAAATTAATGAGTTGTTAAATTTATGAGTTTCTTCTACAAAAGACAATTGTGTTACTTAACATTACTATTACATGACTACGGTAGATAATTAATGTCAAATGATCAAGCTTATACACATTCTTAACCACATCAAACTTATATATAACTAATTTTGGAAAGACATTTATTACAAAAAAATTTCGACATTTAAATAAACAAATTATTCGGTAAAATTGAATATATCAGAGGTCTTAAATTTCACAAATAAACAGTTCTAATAATTTATTAAAAATCTTTGTTCAAACCTTTTATATTTCGAGGGAGTAAAATTAGATTATATAACCACGTATAACACAGAATTCTTTCTATTATTTAAAATTTGTATCAAGACTATTAATGAATCACAAGTTTCCATTATGGAGATGATTTATATCTTTTTAATTTTAACACACATTATTTTTTGAAGCAATAGGATGTTTTTGGACTCACCTGGTGGCACGAGATTTTCTGGCCAAAAGAAACTCGTTTTGTGGTTCCGTGTTAAACTCACAGCGACACCGTCTAGTTGATATATTATATACTATTATTTGATTTTTTGAAATTATATGGAAAGTATCTTTGACCGCCATCTTACGATAAATATGAACCGTCGGATGGTAACAACGATTCCATTATTAGTTGCATAGAAATTTACGCTAGATGGTGTTCCATGCATCTCATAGATTTGAATTAATTTTTAAATTCAATTTTTTGCGAGGAAATGAAAAGAAAATTATTAAAAAAAGAAAAGATAACAAAATTATAATCAATTTGTTAAATGTAATAAAAAAATAAAAAGATTAATCATTCATCCTGCGAATGTGTGGAAATTATTATTTTATTATTTTTTACCGATATATTTAATATTAGCAGGATATAAATTATTTTTTGAAGAAATTTTTTTTGTTAAAGCTCTTATCGGGGGGGGGGGAGGAAAGACGGAAATAAACAGAAAAAAATAATTATGTTTCTGATTAATTTCAATTCGTGCAATTAAAATGATTCACGCTGTTACAAGTTTATCAACCGACGTGCTTATCAAAGAGTTCAGAATATGTACAATGATTATAAATATTATTTTAAAACGAGAGCACTGTCGTTCGCAGTTTTCACGAGCTGGTCGTTGTGATTTAAAGATCTGTTCTCTTTCTCTTTCTATTTTTACTCTTTTTTTGTTTTGAAAATTATTCGAGTCCTAGGATTCGTGATTTCGTGCGAAAATGTTGCGGAAGTTGTTATCGTTCGTGATATTTTTATTGATTATTTTTTATTGTCTGGCACAGGATTATCCTTGTGGGATACGCTCACCAAAGAAATTGTCGAACACCATAGACGATTGTATAGCCGACAATGAAACCGCAAAAGTGTGCAACGGCCGTGGCCAGTGTATTTGAGGTTTTTACAAATGTTTTTATCAGACAATTTTTTCTTGAGATTGTGCTTAGTCTCTGGAGTAATTATTCATTCAAAAATTATATTTTCTTCCAACGAATGGACAATTTCAATAAAACATTAAAAACCTTTAATATTTTATATACAATTTTCCTACGTAAGTTATTCATTTTGATTGATAACTTTGATTCAAACAATTTAACAATTTGAATTGTATGCAAGGTTGTTGTAATTTTATTTGATATTTTTCAATGTAAATTTTCGTAGTTGTACATTGGTCAAGGGAGCTTGTCCATGTGGAACCTGTCGTTGCTATTCGGGATAGGTTGAGGCAGCTTGCAATTGCAGCACGTTCACTTTTGGTTGCATAGATCCAGATAATAGCGAAATACTTTGTAATGGTCATGAAGATTGCGTTTGCTGGAAATGTAGTTTTTGGGAAGATCAAGATAAGAAATATGTTGACAAATATTGTCAAAGATATAATATAAATAATAATTATTATAATACAGTGTTAAAACTAATCAGTAATATGTTAGTATTTCTAATATAAAAAATACTATGGTGTCATTTATTAAAATATTATATAAAATATCGAAAATAATTACTATTTAAAATAAAATACTATGCCTTACATTTAATAGTATAAAAAACCATTAACAATGTCTAATACTATTATAAAATATATATATATATATATATATATAATACTATTATTTATTTAAATATAATTTTTTCAAAATTGTGTGTGTGTAATAATACGTATTTAACTTAATTGCACATATCTATTGATTAATAATAATAATAAACAAACATTACATTTTACATAATTTAAAAAAAAAAAAATCATAAGTTTTTAATTTAGTTATTTTTTTTTTTATTAGCAATTACAAGACTCGATTCATTTTATTTCTAAGAATTAAAGATGAGAGAGAGAGAGAGAGAGAGAGAGAGAGACAATTAATTTGTTGGAATATTTACTTAGTGACACATAGACCGATCGTTTTTATCACAGTATAACTTCCGCGAAATACCGCAATGTCCTTTTAAATCATTACTCACTTACTATACTTTTTAAAACTTTTTATAACAGTCTCGGAATAGTTCGCATGAGCGAATCGTAGAAATAAAACAGTCATACAATGCATCGATCATGTGTACTTTTCTCACTGCACGCGTATTTATTTCTTTTTAGTATTATTATTTTAGTGTCAGGTGAATACAAAGATTCCGAAAGTATTTGTGCGTCTCAAGAAACATGTGGAAAATGTTTGCAAACCCCAAAATGTGTTTGGTGTTCGACAAATGTAAGAATAAATTAAATGAGTGTAAAAAGAAATTCTGATTTATAGAAAACATATAATTATGTTAATATTTAATCAATTCTCATGTATTCAAAAATTGAATACACCATTTTAATATTTTTCATTGTATTTTATAAATAATTCACTGAAATAATTCTTGCTTGTTTTTATTAATAATTTATAATAGAAAGATATATTTGAAAAATGTAGGAAGAACTTTTTTGTTAATTAATTACTTTGATTTGTATTATTGTTTTTGGTTATATAGTAAATATAGATATAATATTTTCTTTTTTATTTGATTTATTTTTCCAAGACATTTGGACAGAACGGACAAATTGTACGTTGCGTTACGAGAGAAAAATTATTAAAGGAAGGTGATTTATGGTGTAAAAAAGATGACGTTGTTGATATACAAAATTCAATGACGATTATTGAAAATCTTACGTTGTCTTCTATCAAAGGAAAAAATCCAGTTCAGATACAACCTCAACGAATTAAATTACGTTTAAGAAAAGGTAAGATATTATTAAAAAAAAAAATATTTTTCAACATAATATTACTTTAATAAATTATAAAAAAATTGTTATTATTTTGTATAAAATAAACTCCAAAGACGAGGAATATCGGATTATTTTGAAGTACAGTCAAGCGGAAGATTATCCCGTTGATTTGTATTATCTGATGGATTTATCATATACTATGAAAGCTTACAAAAATAAATTATCCGAACTTGCTGTAAAATTACAATCAGCAATGAAAAAATTAACGTCCAATTTTCGTCTTGGTTTTGGAAGTTTCATTGATAAGGCTGTCCTACCGATGAATCATATAGAAAAAGAATGGTAGCTTCGATTTTTCATGATATTAAATATACTCTAAAATTGATATATTTTGTGTAACAAAATACAAATTATTTTTAGGTTACAAAATCCTTGTTATGGTGGTTATACCACATGTGCTCCAGCGTATGGATTTAAGCATCAGCTGTCACTCACTGAAAATGCCAAACTTTTCCAGGTAATTTTCATATTCTTTATAACAATAATAAAATATGGGTAGTTAGTTTATGTTTATTTAAAATAATATTTCTAATATATTAAAAAAGGATGAAGTAATAATTGAGTATTCATTAATTTTATAGGAAGAAGTGAGGAAAACTGAAACTTCCGGCAACATCGATTTACCCGAGGGTAGTTTTGATGCTTTGATGCAAGCCATAGTTTGTTCAAAAGAAATTGGTTGGCGAGATAAAGCTCGTCATCTTCTGGTACTTTCTACAGACGACACTTTTCATTTGGCAGGTGATGGAAAAGTATGGCAAATATTTTGTCTAATATTTCATTGCTATATAAACAAATAAGATAAATCATTTTCAATATTAATTGAAACTCAGGGATTTTCAGTTGGCTGGTATCGTCGAACCAAATGATTGCCAATGTCATTTAGATAAACAGGGATATTATAGTCATTCGTTGCTTCAAGATTATCCAACGATTGCTCAGGTATGTCAATTCATTGATTTCAATGACAATTCCTGGTTAATGAATTCATGAATTCAATCATATTATTTCTGTTTATAATGCAATTGAATTTTGTTTTCAACATAGATCGTTAAGCAATCTCAAGAACATAACATAAATATTATATTTGCTTTGCCGACGAAAAAAAATAGCGATTCTTATAGGCTTTATCAAAATTTAAGTGAAATTATCAGAGGATCGTCTATCGATACGATGGAAGGCAATGGTCAAAATATTGTTGCACTCATCAGCAGACAATACGAGGTATTTTGTTTATTATATTAATTTTATATTAATATTAGTCTTTTTTTAAACTTTTATATTTGTGTATGGCCATCCCTTTTATTTTTGCAAATATTTTCACGACCCTTAGCATAAACATTAAATTACGTACGTACCATATATGTAATAATATTTAATTAGTTTTTCATTAATTTCAACTACGAATTAGATATTATTTGGTATTATTGTCTAAAAAAAAATAATTTTTATATGTTTAAAAATAATTTTGTTTGCTTGAAGTGAAACTTTGTAATATCAATAACGTGTAATTTGAATAATATTGATAACGATAATGATAATGACAAAGTAACGTTCGATCAGTCATTATCAGAAAGTTCAACGAGGAAAGGTTACAATTCATTTTTTTTATCTTTTTTATTTTACATTCGAATAATATCTCGAGAGACTTATGAGAAGAAAAACAATTTCTATAAAATTGAAAGATATTGATATAATAGTATCGTAATGACATCATCGTATAATTTAGCAATTAGTGAGTTCAGTGTCGATGATGGATAACAAACCAAACTTTATCAACGTTAAATATTATTCAAGATGTTTGAATGCGACAGAAAAATTAATGGAATGGCAAGAATGCGGAGGATTGCGTGTTGGCAATGTCATAGAATTTGAAATCGTTTTGAAGGTAAAACAAAACTGGAACAAAATTTATTTACAATACTTTTGCAAATAAATGTAAATATGATTTATTTTTCAGGCATTTGAATGTCCAAAAAATTTAAGCGAAAGGCATCAAGTGTTGGAGATAAGACCACTTGGAATTAACGAAAGTTTGACTGTCGATATTGAAATTCTTTGTGATTGTCCTTGCGAAGAAAAAGAAAATTCTGAGGTATATTTTTTTATTAATTAATAAGTAAATATATATATACATATGTTTAACAAATATGAACGATACAAAATAAATACATTTTTATGTTTATATCAGTTGAATTCAGTTAAATGTAGAGAAAAAGGCACGTTGACTTGCGGTATTTGTTTTTGCAACGATGGTTTTTACGGTAAACAA